CAACTCACCTTCGTCCGCCATTTCCACGTCGTCTCCCTTTTCTCCCCTCCCCCGGCGCACTCTTCTCAACGTCGGCGGACGTCTGCACTTCCAATATCTCTCTCTCTCTCTCTCTCTCTCTCTCTCTCTCTCTCTCTCTCTCTCTCGCGCGCGCGCTCTCTCTCTAGTCGAACCGGACGTCTGCACCTGCCAATCTCTATCTCCCTCCCTCTCCCTCTCCCTCTCTCTCTCTCTCTATGTCTCTCTCTCTCTCTCGTCGAACTGGGCGCAGCGATCTCTCGTTGAACCCACTGTCTCGCTCTCTCTCTTGTCGAACCGACCGCGGCGAGCACAACACCGCGAAGCGCATGACCCCAATGCGCAGACTGAACCGAAACATCAAATCAGCACCGCCGTTCGGATTGTCGCGTGGACCCGGGTTGGACGGCCAGATAGACGTTTCGGAAAAAAACTTCTATCTGGCCGTCCTACCCGGGCCCGCTCGGCAATCGCAACGGCCGTCACGGGTTCGGCCTGCCCCGATGATCTGACGCGGTATCCGTCGGGCCCGCCTGCCGGTCCCACAACGTTTCCCAACACTGGTGAGCGGGCTCTCGCGGGAGCGTTACCCGAGACCCGCTATTCACATAAAGATTGGAAGGAAAACCAAGAGGAGGGTATGTACCTGGTTTTTGTCTTTGAGAAAGGGGAGGCCGTTAACCCCGGAGATAGAAAATATCGTTGCTAAGTACCCTGATCTGTTTGAGGAGCCTATAGGTGTTGTAGACAGGGAGGTTGTCCATGCCATATAGATCATCCTTGGGAGCAAGATACCCAAAGGGAGAATCTATAGGATGGCTCCAGCCAAGTTAGACGAGCTCCGTCGGCAACTGAAAGAGCTCACGGAAAAGAGTTGGATACGGCTTAGGATCTCCCCCTTCGGTTCACCCGTTCTATTTGTCGCGAAGAAGGGAGGATCACTAAGGATGTGCATTGATTATAAAGGCCTCAATGCCATCATCGTTAAGAACGTAGAGCCCCTACCACGCATCGACGACCTATTTGATAGGGTGTAGGGATGTAGGTACTTTACCAAGATTAACTTGAAATCCGGCTACCATCAGATTGCCATTAGACCGGAAGACTATCACAAAACCGCATTTCAGACCAGGTACAGTCTCTACGAGTTTGCGGTGATGCCCTTCGGACTTTGCAATGTGTCGGGTACATTCGAGCTCACCATGAATAGGATCTTTCATAACTACTTGGAAAAATTTATCGTCGTGTACCTCGACCACATTCTTATCTTTAGTAACACCGTCGAGGAACAGGCTCAGCATGTAGACAAAGTACGTTCTATCCTCCAGCAGCACAAGTATAAGATAAACTTAGAGAAATGCGAGTTCGATCGCACTAGAATCTTGTACTTGCGTCATGAAGTCTCCAAGGAAGGGATTAGGCTTGAAGATGCAAAGGTGGCTAGCATTCGAGACTGGCCACGACCCCAGTTTGTGACTGAGGTCAGATCATTCTTGGGGATGTGTGGTTATTATTGCAATTTTGTAAAGAACTATAGTACCATGCCTCTCCCTTGACTGATCTAACTCACCTAGACACTCCGAGGGAATGGACAGACATATGTGAGGCTGCCTTCAAAAGATTGAAGTATGCCCTCACACATCATGAGGTTCTCATGGTCCCCAATCCTGAAAGGCCATTTGTTGTGACGAGTGACGCAAACCAATATGGTATTGGCGCACTGATGGCACAACAGGAAGGGAAGAAGTTGAGGCCAGTCGAGTACATGAGCAAAAGGATGCCATCCAAGAAATTGGCGAAATCCACCTAAGAGAGGGAACTCTACGCCCTGCATAAGGCACTTCTCCTCTGGAGATACTATCTTGTTGGGAAGGTTATTTTATCTAAGGGCTGACCATCAGACACTCAAGTGGATCAAGGCACAACCTGTTCTATCCGATGCGCTCAAACGCCAGATTTACGTCATAGATCAATATGACTTCAAGCTAGCCTGTGTGAAAGGAGGGTATAACAAGGTTGCTGATGCGCTGTCACGTAGGGCGGACTACCTACGTGCACTGATTACCGAGTTTGGCTTATCTGACAATGTAATCCTTGGTGGAAGCCTACAAAGAAGACCCTGTCACGATGGACATCATGCGCAAACTAGAGGCCCAAGACAAGGCCACATCTGATGAGTTTGTGATGGTGGACGGGTTGCTCTTTCTTGAGAAGGCGGGATTTAAAAGGTTAGTTGTTCCATCTAGAGAGATTTTGCGTAGTTTATTTTTAGGACAGTGCCAAGACGCAACAAGACATTTTGGCTACACGAAGACTTCTGCTAATTTAGTCCAATGATTTTGGTCACCTAACTTGCTTGACGATGCAAAGAAGTACATACAGACTCGCCAAGTCTGCCAAGTCTGTCAGCGGGACAAGCCGCAAACTCGAGCCCCCCTTGGGTTGCTCAAGCCTTTGCCCATTCCCGCTGGTCTGGGACAAAGCGTTTCCATGGACTTCATGGACACCCTCGTGACCAGAAGGAGTGGCAAGAGGCATATCTTCGTCATAGCCATGTCGGAGACCGCCAGGACTGAGCACGTCATCAAGTTATTCACGGATAACTGGGTGGGTGATTTTGGACTGCCAAAGACTATCGTTAGTAATAGAGATGTCCGCTTCACCGGTGAGATGTGGAAGAAGGCTGCATAACAGATGGGCAGCTAACCCCAGATGTTGCATACTGTAACGGTGCAGACCAAAACAAGAACCGACCTCTCAATACAAAGTACAAGATAGCATAGCGGAAGACTTAGATACCAATGATCCGAACAATCAATATTGCAATGCAGCCCTAAACACACATCATCATGATCGTTCCATGGTGTTAAAGGGGTCTGGCGCTTCACACAAGAAGACTGCGCCAGCCCCAACCATACACAGACGAAGAAGAAGGGCATTAGACGAAGAGGAGGGGAAGATGGGAATGTCGTCAACACCAAGTCTTCGGCACAAGCCCAAATAGTCCCTCGTCAAATGTCTGAATCCCAAATGTCGAGTCTGGATCCAATGTCGTCAAGTCCCAAGTCACAACTCTCTCTCTCTCTTTGTAGTAGTCCGCTGATACTGAGAAGTCAGGTGGTGAGAGGGGAAGAAGAGATGGTGGACGTAGAAGAGGAAGAAGAAGATCTCTCTCTCTCTCTCTCTCTCTCTCTCTCTCTCTCTCTCTCTCTCTCTCTCTCTCTGTGTGTGTCCAGTACTAACCTGTGAAGATGGATCCTTGATGCAGGTACCTCGAAGATGGAGCTGGAGCTATGGCGCCACAGGTAAGTCTCGTCTCTCTCCCACACTACCACTACCACCTACTAGCGCCCAGCGCTGAAGACTACTGCTATGGCTACTAGCGCCCAGCGCTGAAGACTACTGCTAGCGCTAAGCTACTCCTGGCAGCACTCCTCCTGAGTGCTGCGGCCGAATCCTGAAGACTACTCGTCCTACTGTCCAACTACCTACCTCGGAAGTGCATGGGAAACCCCTATGTACTACTCGGCCTGGACTGGCTGCAGGCGAGGCAGCAGTCCAGGAGGCTGCTCTTGCCAATGCCAAAGGCAGTCAGGGGCTGCCGTTGCAGCTCCTGCTCAAGACAGTCGTGGGAACAGGCTAAAGATAGCCTGTTCTGAAAACCCTGGTTTTGTGCCTGAGGTTTAGGGTAGGTCGATCTTATGAGGGCCCGAAAGTGGCCCTCCGTTTCAGGCTGAAAAACCCTGATATAGGCTGAAAACGAGATAGGGCCCTCGTTTTCAGTTTCAGGCTGAAACGACATGGGGCCTGTAAGCTCTATTTTCTAGGCTTTTAGGCTGAGAATCGGGGACGGGCCCTGTAAGGCCTGTGTGGCTACGCAGTATGCCACACCCCCCCCTCCTTGAAAGACCGAGCTTACCTGCGAGGGCGAAGCTGTCTGTCTGAGCGAGGGACCACAGTCCGGGTGGGAGGGGCCGGTCGTGAAGCTTCTTGAGCTAACCTTTGCTTCTCATAATGCGTGTAGATCAGCGGTGCGGATGCTTTCAAATCTGCTCCTGAAATCCACCGAGTGTCGTCGCGATCGCAGGCTTTGAATGTAACTTTGTACTGTCGCGGCTTGCTGCCGTACTTGCGATCGGTGATGACGCGGTCAACTTCTTGATGACCATCCATAGAAGGAGGGTCCTGCGATCGTCGGCCCGGAAAGTTGTCGCTCTTGTATGTTGCTAGCTTTGAGGCGTGAAAGACTGGATGGACCGTCAGATGCGGGGGGATGTTGATCACAAATGAAGGGTCATCGGGCTCATCGCCCGCGGCTGATGTTACAGGCCATGGTCCAACCACTTGGGAAGCAGTTTGCGTGAGACATCCTGTTCCAGTGCAAACTCTTCCGCGGAAACCCAAACCAGGTCGCCGGCGCGGATGGGACATGGCACGCGATGCCTGTTGGCTTGCTGCTGCATGCGGACTTGAGCCTTTTGCATATTCGCGCGGGCTTGAGCCAGCAATTCCCTGTACTTCCGGACGGAAGCGGGAGAGCAAGCGACATTGATGTCGGCTGGTCGTGGGAGGAGAAGGTCGACAAAGATAAGGCCTTTCCGTCCACCGTGGTGCAACTCGAAAGGAGTCCCGCCGATCGCCGGGTGCACCGAAGTGTTGTAGGCGAACTCGATGTCGGGGAGGCGATCAACCCAATCTTTCTGGTCCGGACGGATGAGCATACGAAGCATCATTTGAGCGGTCTGATGTGCCCGCTCCTTCTGCCCGTCTGTCTGTGGATGCCGAGCCGAACTTGGCTTCATCTTCGTGTCGGACTCCTGCATGAGTGCAGTCCAAAATGCCGACATGAAGCGAGTGTCGCGGTCGCTGACTATGTCTTCCGGTACACCATGGCCGCAAATCCAGCCGGTGTGCAGGAGGCGTGCCAGCTCGGGAGCCGTGGAGTAGTACTTGCAAGGGAGAAAACGCGCGTACTTACTCAATCGGTCCACGACCGTGAGGATGCAGTCATGTCCAAGGCGGTCGCAGGGGAATTGTTCGGTGACATCCATGGCAATGGAGAGACCGGGTTCCTGCGGGATCGGCATCGGGCGCAGCTCGCCGTAGGGGTTGCGGTTGCGGGGTTTGCTTCGTCGGCAAACTTCGCAAGAGTCGCAATACCTCGTGACATCGGTGATGAGGTCGGGCCATCGGAATCGCTGTCGAAGCCGTGCAATAGTGCGGTTGACTCCGAAATGGCCGGCGAGTCGCGAATCATGATACTCGCCGAGGAGGCGAGTCCGAAGACGGCGGTCGCGTGGGACACATAGTAAGTCCTTGCCCCGCGAGTGCAGGAGCAAGTACCCATCGGCGATGCGATAGTGGCTGGCCGGCGGGTGATCCGAAGGTAGTTGCGCATATAGCGTGGCGAAGTCTGGATCAGACTCGTAGCCCCGGATGAAGTGTCGCTGGAGCTCCTCGTCAAATGCGAAGGCATGATGTGTCATAGCGCAAAGATCAGGTCTTCGCGAGAGTGCATCTGCTGCGCGATTGGAGAGGCCGGGAAGATGTTTCGGTGTGAAGTCAAATTGGTCGATGAAGTACATCCATCATCCAATCGTGCTGCTCACCGTATCCTGCGTCTTGTAGTAAGTCAGTGGGTTGTTGTTCGTAACCCATATTAACCTACGACGCCCAAGGAGGAAGTGCCGCCATCGCTTGAGAGCCATGACGAATGCGAGCAGCTCCTTCTTTCTTGCATCATCAAGCGAGTTGATGGGAGGCACTTTGTGGCTGAAATACTCCACAGGGTGCCAGTCGTCAACGTCGTGCTGTTCCAAGACGGCCCCAATGCCATAGCCGGAAGCGTCCGTAGTCACTCTCGTCGGCAGGGTGGGGTCATAGATGCTAAGGACGGGTGCCATGAGCATAGCCGTCTTAAGTGCTTGGAATGACCGGCGTGCATCGTCATCGAATACGAATGGCACCTTTGGCGATTGTAATCTCGTCATAGGTGCAACAATCCTCGAGTATCCGATGATGAATCGCTGATTGTAGCCCGCCAATCCCATGAATGAACGAACGCCCGTGGTGTTGGTGGGCTCGGGCCATACTCGTAGGGCCTCGATCTTGTCCGCAAGCGGACGGATGCCTTGCGGAGTCACATTATGTCCCAAGTTCTCCAACTCCTGCCGCGCGAATTCGCACTTGTCGAGGTTGGCTTTGTACTTAACCTGTCGTAGCCGCTCCAAAACGGTGCGCAAGTGTTCCACATGCTCGTCCAAACTCCGGCTGTACACCAGGATGTCGTCGAGGTAGATAAGCACGTATCGATCCAGCATGTGTCGGAACTCCGTTGTCATAGCCGCTTGGAAAGTGGTCGGGGCATTCGTAAGGCCAAATGGCATAACCAACCATTCGAAATGCCCATATCGCGTCTTAAACGCGGTCTTGTAGCGATCCTCCTGCCGAATCTCGAGTTGGTAATATCCCGACTTGAGATCAAGCTTGGAGAAGAATTTGGCGCCGCCCAGTCGTTCGAGAAGGTCGTCGATGCATGGGAGAGGGCCGACGTTTCTGATCGTTTGCGCGTTGAGCTTGCGATAGTCGATGCACAACTGCAAATCCTTGTTCTTCTTCCGGACGAAGAGAACAGGAGCACCGTATGGCGATGAGCTAGGCTGAATCCAACCTTTCTCCAGAAGGTCGTCGAGTTGTGCCCGAAGCACACTTAACTCTTCCTCGCTCATTCGGTAGATGCAACCGCGCGGAGGTACGGCCCCGTCCTCGAGGATGATCTCGTGGCGAATGGGCCGATCCGGTACTACTCCATGCGGACCTTCGAACACGTCGCCGTAGGCGTCGAGAAGCTCAGTGATGTGTGGATCCGAAGAAGAGTCCGTCGATGAAGCGTCATAGGGCGGGAGGGCGCGGAGAAAACACACCCCCATCTCCTCGATGTCGTCTCTGATGATGGAAGCTCGCATGCTTGCGGCGGATACCACGTGGGAGCTGATCGAAGGATGAGGAAGAGGCACCGTGCATGAGACTAGTACTCCGTTCCGATCACGAATGTGAACGGTGCGGTGGTAGAAGTTCACCGGGTGATCCTCGCTTCGCAGCCATAACATGCCCAAGATCATGTCGAATTTGGTGTCCAGAATGTCAAAGGACACCGCCTCACTTGCGTGAGGAGCAAAGTACACTGGGACGTCATCGATGCACCGGTCGATTGACTTGTGCGTGTGACCGTCCGCCAACGTGACTTGCGTAGGCTGGGGCTTCCTTCGGACGTGTGGGCCAAGGCCAACGCGCACCATGAAGTCCTGGCTGATGTAGTTGCGAGATGCTCCGCAATCGATCAAAGCGCTGCAGGACGCTTCTTCGATCTGAATGCGTACATATAGCAATGGTGCGTCGATGTCGTCCTACCGTTGCGTCTTGAACTCGCGATCGATCTTCGCAATGTAGGGTTGAAGGTCGACAACCTCTACTCCGGTGTCCATCAACGGAGTCGGTACTGCAATGTGCAAGTAATCCCGCAATTGTGCCATGAGCACGTTGTCGGGACTGGTGAGTCCCGAATAACTTCCCATCACTCGAGAGACCGAATATGGACGAACTGTGCACAACAGAGAAATCGGAAGTGAGACGTGATAAAGGATTAGGCCGCAGGAGGGAGTAATGCCCTGGGGCGAGAACCACGGGGGGAAAGAACTAAGCGGCGGCAAGCAAGCGAGAGCAAGAACGAGGGCACATACAACATAGCAGGAGGCCGGGAGGGTCATCGGAAGGCAATAAGACTAAGGCTAAGGGGCCTTTTGAACAAGCGATTGCAGCGCGACAGCAATAAGGGAATGAGGAAGTCGAGGGATGGGCGGCCAGAAGCCGCGGGAAGCCACGAAATGAGGAGCCAACGTGGGGGCCACCTACAGAAGCTTCGGAGCGAAGGCCCACGGCCAAAGAGATCGGCACACGCAAGGCGCGAGGAAAGACTAAGGAGAGGGGTCGCTATGGGGCGACAAGACGCCTAAGGAGCATGGAACACCTCGGGGAAAGGCACCAGGGGCCACGTGGGACTAAGTAAAAATAATGGCATCCGGGGCGAAATGTGTCGGGGACCACCGGCGGGACTAAGTGTTGGGGACCACCGGCGGGACTAAGTGTTGGGGACCACCGGCGGGACTAAGTGTCGGGGACCACCGACGGAACAAGTGGCAGGGACATGTGAAAGTCCCAAGAAGAAATGGCGGCACCACATGAGGAAAAATAATAAATACAAGGTGCACCGTCAAGATCAACATCTTGACGGCCAAGAATATTAGCACCACTAGTGCAAATACTAGTGGTGAGAAACGGGAAGGCCAAAAGGAAAAGGAAAGTAAAAAAAACTGAAGTGGGAGGCATGGGAGCAATCCGAAAAATCTCGGATCAGCCTCCCTCAAGAAAATAGAGTCAAATAAGACCCCATGTGAAAAATAGCCCTCCGGGAGAAAATCGGAGTAGGAGGGACCATTATGGGAAAAATGTAGGAGTAAGAGAAGGCTCCCATGGGCATGGGAAGGCCATTATTGCAGTCCGAGAAATAACGGACTGCACCTTGGGCATAGCGAGGGCCAAAACTAAGAGGAAGAGGCTAGAAAAGGGCCTTAACGGCCACTTGACACTTGACATGCTAGAAAAAAGAGAGAAAAGAAAAAAAAATGGGGGAGAATAAGACAAAAAGAGTGAGAGGGAGTGAGGGAGTTGGCCGTCAGTAGGGACTGCCATAGGTAGGGACTAGCAGGTCCCTACTGTCCAAGAAAGGAGGAGAAAAGAAAAGAAAAGAAAAGAAAAGAAAAGAAAAGAGAAAAAGGCCTTAACGGTCAAAAACAGTCACTTGGGGAGATTCATCCGTGACCAGATTCATTCTGGTATATGGCGGTTACAAAGGAATTTTCTTTTCTTTGATTTTTGCAGAGAAAATCAAAGAAAATCAAGGCCTCTTGCAACCGGAATAAAACGGAATACATGCATGAGGAGAAACACATGTTTTAGGTGCATCCGGAGTAAAAATCAAGTCCGGATGCACTTGGAGATTGACCGTTTTCTTTTTCTTTTGAGTAAGGGCTAGTTGTGGGGCATTGGGGCTAAGGAATTGACCCGCATTGCAGTCCGAGTTGAATCGGACTGCATGGGGGAGAGAAAACACATGTTCTAGGTGCATCCGGAGCCAATATTAAGCCCGGATGCACTAGAAAATTTAACGCTTCATTTTTTTTAACATGGGGCAAGTTGTAGGGCTGTGGGTATAGAAAACAGCCATGACTGCAGTCTGAGAAATTACGGACTGCATGGGGATGCCAAGGCCAAGGGGAAACGGGCTACAGCAAGCCCGGAAGGCTAGAAAGGAGCAATTTCGGCAAGGGGGCAAGTAAAGACGGTGAACAGCAACCGTGAGATGAGATCTCACGACCTAGAAAAATCAGCACACATGTAGAAATGATGGGACCACCAAGGGCAATGGGCCCCCAAAAAAAGAAAAAGGGATGCCTTCCGGAATGTTGTCGGAGACCAAATGGGTCCAAATAATAAAAATCGAAAAACGGGACACGCGCCGGCGGGACTGCCGGCGGGACAAGGAAATGGAGTTAGCATGAAGGAAAATGGCGGGGACTTGGGATGTCCCAAGGGAACCATGAGCAAACACACGGAATAACTGTGCAAGCAACAGCACCGTCAAGATCGAGGATCTAGACGGTGGAAAAATATAAGCACCGCTAGTGCAAGCACTAGTAGGAGCAAGTGGGAGAGTCATGGGAGAAAGAAAAGTAAAATAAGGATGTTGGGAAGGTTGCCCAGCAGTCCGGGATATCTCGGACTAGCTAGGCATAAGACAATAGAGCCTTGAGAGGCTCAACATGAGAAAAAGGCTGCCCTTAGAAAATCGAAGCAAAAGGGGCTCAAAATTGGGCAAACGGGAGCAAAATGGAGCCCCCTAGGAACATGGGGGTGCCGTTGTTGGAATCCGAGATGTAACGGCCAAGTAACAGCCATGAACCTAGCCTTGAATGAGGCCCTAAGGCCTAGAAACAGGGTACACAGCAGTTTTACACTTGTCACAACAGAAATAAAAAAAAAAGAAAAAAAAATGAGAAAAAAAGGAAGGAGAATGAGACAAAAAGGGAGAAAAGAGTGGAGGAGAATGTGTCGGCCTATTGGGACCTGCACAGTAGGGGCTGGCAGGTCCCAACTGTGACCTCATCCCTCCTAGAATGAGGGAGGGCAATCCGGATTGCAGAGACAAAAAATGAGAGAAAAAGCAAAAAGGAAGTGACCGGATTTCTTTTTGACCATGAATCTGACAGCAGATCTCATGGTGGAGAAGAACTAGCCGTTTTTTGTGGACCTGCTCAAAACGGCTGGCTCCGGAATAAGGTGGCAGCCCAAAATGGAAAGAAACAAAAGAGGGAAAAGGCCAAAACTGTGCATTTGGCCCAAAAAGAGAGCCAGATGCACCAAAAATTGAAAAAGTAGACTTACGGGCCCAAAATTGAAGCAAGGACTACTAGGGGGTAGCTCGGATTATTGCTGGCTTTGGATCTCAGCCAGATCCAAGGCTGAAAATGTGCCGCCATGTGGGAAAATGCGCCGGCCTACTCAAAAGAGGCCGAAACTTAAAAAAATCGAGAAAAAGGCCCACAAGGTCTTTTTCTTCCAAGTATTGCTGCCCCTTGGGCATTAGGACCCTAGAGAGCAGCATTTGAGCAATGAAAAAGAGGCCGGATTAGGACCCTTCAATGTGCTTTTCTTTAGTCTAGCCACTCATTGTCATGCTTATACTTAGTGTGATGTTCTGGATGATCTTCCCTTCACGTACATGTGTTTTTCATTAGTCTAGCCACTCATTGTCATGCTCATACTTAATGTGATGTTCCGGTTGATCTTCCCTTCATGTACATGTGCTTTTCTTTAGTCTAGCCACTCACTGTCATGCTCATACTTAATGTGGTGTTCCGGATGATCTTCCCTTCATGTACATGTGCTTTTTATTAGTCTAGTCACTCATTGTCATGTTCATACTTAGTGTGATGTTCCGATTGATCTTCCCTTCATGTGCAAGTGCTTTCCATTAGTCTAGCCACTCATTGTCATGCTCATACTTAGTGTGGTGTTCCGGTTGATCTTCCCTTCATGTGCAAGTGCTTTTTAATAAGTCTAGCATCTCATTATCAAGTTCATGTTTGATGTGATGTTTCAAATCTTTGCTTAGTTGATCCCTTCTCGTTGTGCATTGTCAAATTCATGTTCTGGATCTTTACTTAGTTAGTATTTTCTCTTTGTACATGTGCTTCCACTAGTCTAGTCTCTCATTGTCAAGTTCATGTTTGAAGTGATGTTCCGGATCTTTGCTTAGTCGATCCCTTCTCTTTGTGCATTGTCAAGTTCATGTTCCGGATCTTTGATCTCTTCTCTTTGTGCATGTGCTTCCACTAGTCTAGACTCTCGTTGTCAAGTTCATGTTCCGGATCTGTACTTAGTTAGTCTTTTCTCTTTGTGCATGTGCTTCCGCTAGTCTAGTTTCTCATTATCAAGTTCATGTTTGAAGTGATGTTCCGGATCTTTTCTTAGTTGATCCCTTCTCTTTGTGCATTGTCAAGTTCAT